AAAAAAAAAAAAAAACCCAGCCCAAACTCGTAACCTACGATGTTGATGGCAGTTAAGCAGGGGCGGATCAGTGTAACGGTGCCGGTTTCTTCTAAATCCAGTATTTTCGACGCGGGGCATACATTTATATGAAAATTATCTAAAATAGGAACAAATAACATATATGAACCCATAACTTTAACAATATCATGAGTTTGAACCCATAGAATTCAAATCTTTAATCCGCCTTTGTTAAGTTAAGTCATTACTAAGTCGGCCAAAACCCTAGACCTTTTTGTTAAAAGAAATCATCATTAACCTCAAACCGGAGCTCTTGCCTTGTTTTGCATTTACAGGAGCATATTCTATATTCTTCCCATTACTCGACGGGTAGAACAAAATTTTCAAATCAGATAGCCGACCAAATTAATTTGGAACTGAGGTGTATTTGATTGATACTTGTTCTTAACTTTAGTTTATCAACTGTAACATGTACTACTTAGGAATTATTTCCATTTGGGACTTTTAGGGTGGTGAGTTTATTGAGGAATATTTAAAGCCAAGCCAAGGCGATTATTTGACACTTCGTCGCTGAGGGACAGGAATAATTGTCAGAGACCAGACCCTTTCCTTGCCCATACTCTTTTCTTCCCACAAGAACTCAATGGGTTAGCCGACACCTGTGCTTGCCTGTTCTACCCTTTCCAGTGGAATAGTCGAGGTGCAAGCGAGGTGGTTGGACACCACCAGTCAGAAAAGGAAAAGTTCTCAGGGGTTTTTGTATCCTGCTGCTTACACTGCATAGCGGTTTCTCACTGCTGCTCAGTGCTATGATGTTGCTCTTCTGTGTCTGATGTCCATCTGTCTACTCTGATTGAGGAACTTGCAGGTCGGGGAAATTACGTTATCATTCTGAGATGGATCAAAATCGAATACAGCAGTATATAGACAGCTTGATGAGAAGCCAAAGGAGAAATAATCAAGCTTTTTCGATGACTCAGAAGGTGCTAATTATTTTCTATTGCAATAGCTGGGGACTATAACATATGCTATCCTGCTTGCTTTTGGCTTTTATTTGTTTAATTATTTGTACCTTTCCCACCACCATCTCGCAACTGCAAATTTAAATAGCCTATTTATAAGTGAATGTGTGAGAGTCTTGAAGAGCTCTTCAAAGTGTTTCATAACTTTTGCCGTTACTATGAAATGATAGATAAAGTTATTTGCATATATAGACTTTACTTTAGGAATTTTAATGGGAATTATCCTAAGCATTTTTTATCGGAATCCTCCCAAGACCCCACTTGTAGATTACACTGGGTGATTATTGTTGTTGTTGTTGTATCCTAAGTATTTTCCCAACTGCTTTTGAAACATCTTTAGGTGAATCTAGCTATGCTAGAGCAGTAGAGCTCTGCAGCAGAAGATATTGATGATATGAAAATGTTCTCTTAATCCTATATGGACTTAAAAAGTAGAATAGAATCATCTTCAGAAAATCTTCTTTATCATAAAAAATATGCAAGTCTGACTCTGTATAGAAAACACAATAGTCAGCACCCACATGTGATCATGGAGCTAACCTAGATCCCCAAAAAAGAAGATTCATATTCATTCTTTTTATCTTTAGATGGTGGAGTATATTAATTGCTAATTAATGCACTCTGCATATTAAATAGTAATTCATTAACAACAATCGCGGATTCTTCACATATCACTTTGTTCCATTTAAACTCATCACAAATCAACATTATATAAAATAAAAGAAAAAGATTAAAAATACTAGATGTTCTTTATATTTTTTACTGACGTATAAATCTCTATTTGGATTAAAAGATTCTTAGAAAATATAAAACGTAAAGTAAAGGCAATAACACGACTGTAATTTTTCAATTAATTGGTATCGTTTATATAGATTAAATAATTCATTCATTTCTATAGTTGAATTAATTTCTCATGTTATCTCTGTCCACATTCACTTCTAGTTTCTGTACCATACCAAGAAGCAATACAAAAACAGATCCAAAACTCACAAATCCTAGTACACAAAAAGAGCCATAAGCCGAAAACTAAAAGATGAAAGTGCTGTTTTTTCATCATTTTTTTCTAGCATCATTCTTCATATTCTTTGTATTATTATTTGCAGAGTGCAAAACACATCCTACTGATATACAAGGACTTCAACATCTCAAAAATGGAATAAACCCAAATTCCATTTCCTCCGGTTCATGCCTAAGCTCATGGAACTTTACCGTAGACCCATGCGATAATATTTTCTCCGACCGGTTCACTTGCGGTTTCCGATGTGATCTCATCGTCTCCGGTTTTTACCGAGTCACTGAAATCAGCTTAGACCAAGCCGGTTACTCCGGTTCATTATGTATAACCAACCTCCCTCATCTCGAAGTTTTAGATATGTCCTATAACTTACTCTCCGGTTTAATCCCACATTCACTCTCAAACCTAACTCGGCTACGTCGACTCAGTCTTTCGAAAAACTCATTCACAGGTAAAATCCCTTCTTCCATTGGTTCTCTTTTACGTCTTCAAGAACTATTTCTTGATAACAATAATCTCACCGGTTCAATCCCTCGAAGTTTCAACGGTTTTGTCAATTTAAACCGGCTTGAGCTTCAACATAACAATATTACTGGAGATTTACCTATTCTCTATCAGCTCAGAAACCTATTCTTCTTAGACTTAAGTGATAACAGAATCACAGGAAACTTCTTAACGTCACGTTTCTCCAAGTCCATTATTGAACTCTCACTACGTAACAATTATTTAAACGGCGAGTTCCCGTTAAACGTAGGAGAGTTGAAGTTTCTACAAGTTTTAGATCTGAGTCATAATTTATTATCTGGGATTATACCGTCGGTGTTATTTTACCATTCATCTCTTCAACAACTCACACTTTCTTACAACAACTTCACGTTATTGCAAGTGCCAGAAGATTTAAGGTATCGAAGTAATAAGCTTATAGCTATTGATCTGAGTTGTAATAATTTGCATGGCTTCTTGCCGGCTTTCATGGCGTCAATGCCGAAGTTGTCGGCTCTGAATTTGGAGCATAACAAGTTTTCCGGCATGATACCGACACAGTATGCAGTCAAAGTTGTAGTTCCGAGAAACAATACGTCGTCGTTTGAGAGATTGTTGTTGGGCGGGAATTACTTGTTTGGGCCTATTCCTGGGCCTCTATTGGGCCTAAAACCAGGTTCTGTTAATGTTAGCTTAGTGGATAATTGTTTATATATGTGTCCGAATACGCTATATATTTGTCATGGTGGGAATCAGAAATCTTTCTTGGATTGTAAGAAGTTTCGACCTATGATTCCTTGAGGTTAGTTTTATTTTTTCATTTCAAATTTTGGATGAGGTTAATTACTAGTGTTTGAGCAGCAAAAGGTGTTCCTCTTGTCCTAATTTTGAATTCAGAGGTAATAGTCGATTACTTAGAAACTATTCGACTTTGTACATATGTAACAGTTACAATGATATTATTGAAACTAATAATACTATTGTCGTAAACCAAGATTTGGTGCTATAGTGCTAATAAAAAGCTACAATTTAGATACAACTTGTATATAGATTTTTGTTGTATAGAGTATGGTCAAACGCTACAATTTACTTACAACTTGCATCCGATTTTATGTTATACATAATCGATCCGGTGAAACATACAACTTACATACACTTTGCATATGACTTGCATATAATTATGTTAGTTTTATATTTTGTATGTTATTTGTACATCCGATATACAAAATACATACAATTTAATTGTCTTCCTCTTCGAGTATCAATCTGGAATTTCAACCAAAACAACCTGAATCTTCATCAAACTCCCTCGAAATTGAGATATGAACTTCAAAAAATATGTTCTGTTGTTTGCAACAACACTCAATTCAAACAAGCAATAATTTCACTAAACCCAATTTTCGAATTTAATGTTTTGATACTTTTTAATGGATGTCAATATATAGATTTTACAGCTTTATATTCATTTTCAAACACTTGTTTAATTTTTAGTAATGCTTAAAGATACTACAAATCTCGCATTGCAAAAAAAAAAAAAAAAAATATTCTTTAATCATTTCAATCGAAGGTAACAGCATTTTTATGTGTGTAAAGAAGAGGCGATAAGTTCATAATTATTAAATGGTCGTGGAAAGAGAAATCTTGGGGACTCAAACTCACGAGGTAATTGAACTAATCTTGTTCATATTTGAAATTTTCTAGAATAAGAGTTTTTTTCAAACCATTTTAATTTTGTATTATTCGCATACCTTGAGATCATCCCTTATTATTGTTTTAGAAGTGTGCTTGGTAGTGAGAAAGATAGAGAGGGAGGGGAGAGGAAATGAGAAAGATTAGAGTCTAATACTTTACTTTGTATGCAACTGATAATTATATACATGATATATAATTAAAATGAGAATGGTAATTAGGTTCATAATGTAGCTTAAATAGGTAAAGATTGATCCCTATAAAAAGCATAAATTTATTATTAACTAGTACGACGATTTAGTGATAACCAAGTGGAAATCAACTAATAGCTAGCATGTTTTATGTCACATCAGATTTGATTTATTCCTTTTCTTTTTCTAGAAATTAAAACAAGAAAGTGATAAAGCAAAATAAGGGAGAAGAAAGATACTAGTATACAGGCGGCTAAGAATCTTATAAGAAAAGGACTTGTACTCCTATCACGACTCCAACTCTAGCAAAAGTGTAGCTTAATTAGTTCTAACTGCCTCAATTTTTCAGAGATAAAAGAATTTTGTTTGTTCATATATTAGATCATTCGTAAATGCACTTTATTAAAGCTCCTCTTAGCAAACTGAGAGTCCGTTTATTGCTTTATTGTAATAGTTAAATATATCCTATTAATTCCATTATTTGTCAAATGAGGGGATGACGTATGTAATGTTGTAATGTTTTTTTCTTGTATGATAAGTTATTTCTCCGCATTTGCCAAGCATTTTTCAAATACTCAGTTCTATTGTTATCTCTTCACCATCCCTTTTCCCTTTCTATTTGTTCCCTTTTTAAAATGTATTGTTCCCAAAGTTTTTTAGAATTTTGGGGCAGAGTATGTACAGGAGAAGCTGACAACAAGGTAAATGCTAATTAGTTTTCAGACTCAATTAAGTCCGTCGATATTTCATCTACTTTTTTGCTGATTATATATATTATATTTGTTCATAATTGTAGGTTGTTGATGCACCAGACGAGGGAGACCAAAATCCAGCATAGCTTTTGTGAGCAAAATGTGAAACTCCAACCTACCTGGGTTGTAGGTCGGGGATGCTAACCACCCGAGCAATCCCTCTTATCATCAAAAGCACGGACATAGACTATTAATTAATCATTTTGTTTTTTGTCCTTCTACGTGCCAGCTCCGCCATGTTTTTTAAAATGCCTCCAAATAAATATTATGAATATTTTCGCAAGTTCTTTTAATAGTTTGGCCCCTTTTGGGAAACCATTATGCTCTAAGTTTCTTGAATTCTCTACTATGTAATAGTTTTAACTAGTTATTTCTCCATTTATCTCAAATTTATTTATATAAAATACTTTCTTTTCTAGTCACTCCAAAAATGAAAAAAATGAGATCGCTCACCAATAATAGGAGCCATCATCTTCTTACTCAGATAAGCAGTCATCCTTAAATTGGCTTTACTAGGGATCGTATAATAGTGAACTTTCATTCCCGGTAGAAGTCCTCGAGCAACTTGCCTAATACTAATAAATAAGGGGAAGGTCCAATATTTATATATATACTAGTTCTAGTATACGTGTGTTGCACGTGTGTATAGTGTCTATCAATTAAAAAAAATATATGTTGACGTTAAAATAAAATATTATATTTATTTAAATAATGAAAATATTTTTTTCTCACATTAACATGGTAATTGCATTCAATATCTTTTGAATACGCATGAATGATACATTTAGATAAATTAGTTGTGCCTAATTTTATAATTATACATATCTTATAATATGATATACAAATATATTAAATTGTGTCTCACCTGACATCTCTTTATGAATACATTTTATCTTCTACTATTTCATTCTTATTTCTTAAAGTTTGCATTTTAACAATTTATTCCTAATACAATAATTGGTTTTATATTATATTCTGATCTCTTTTAATTCAAATACTTAATTATCTTCTTAATAACTAAAAGAAATAATTTATTTTTTGAGGATTCAGATTATTAATATTAGCTCATATCATATATTAAATATTTAATTATAACTATATTTTTATCCACAAAAATTCTTTTGTCAAATGATATTAAAAATCAACCTTTTGTACTTTATATTTGTCGTAGTATTAGTAAACAACTTTTATTAATCACTTTTCTTTTTCTCTTGCTCTTGCTATTATTAATTTTTTTTGTAATTTATTTTTCTAATTATATTTAAAAATCTGTATTAATATTTATATCTACTCAAATTATTGATCAAAGAATAAAATTATAGTCTCGTGGATCAATTTCACATGTCTACTCATAACATTTATACATTAATTTCTGATTTGGGAAGGACAATGCTTCCTCTCTCTTTAGTCTTTTCTTTATTTTATTTTATTATATCATAATTGTTTACCTAAAATTTAGTATAGTTGTACAATCTCTTTTGCACTAAAAATATTTAATTGTAGAAATTCATACGCATAAAGATTTGGTGACTTAATCATACTTTAGTCGTAAAATTTATAAAAGATAAATTTTTATTGATTTTAAAGTCCTAATATAAGGACTTCTTAGTTATTCAAATAAGGAAAGATTAATAAGTAATAAATCTGATTTAATTTANTCGGAAGGATTTCAGAGTGAAATAAGACACTTAGTCTCATAATTAAAAACTTAAGATGGAAAAGTTGTCCGGATATTGACTTATGTGTAAACGACCTCAAAATTTAATTCTGATAATTTCAATAGCTCCGTATGATTGTTTTAGGCTTAGGACCTTGTCCGAATTTTTTTTGGAGGTCCGTAGCGGAATTAGGCTTGAAATGCCGAAAGTTAAATTTTTGGAAAGTTTGACCACAGGGTTGACTTTTTGATATCAGAGTCGGAATTCAGTTCCGAAAATTTTCATAACTCCGTTATGTCATTTATGACTTGTATGCAAAATTTAAAGTCAATCGGACTTGATTCGATAGGTTTCGGCATCGAATGTAGAAGTTGGAAATTTCATAAGACTAAAGTTTCTAGTGAGTTCGCACAAGACCTAACTTCAAACGAGCATACCTCTTTTGATATGAAAATTTATAAGATGTGTTACCTATAAAAAGAAAGGTCTATGTGTCTAGTTTCTAACGCTTCAAACCGTTTGTCATTTGGAAATTTCTACAAGAAGTTATGACTAAATTACCAAAGGCTGGAAAAATGCGATTCTGCGGTCAGATGTGCGACCGCAGAATCATTATGCGATCGCATAATGACACATTGTGAGACCGCAAAATGGTCGCCGATATGCCCAGCACAACCCAATTTTCGGCAGCGATTTTGCGGTCTATTGTGCGACCCGCATACACATTGTGCGGTCCATTGTGCGACCGCATACCTGTTTTCGGAGGGGTACTTTTTCTATTTTCATAACCCGCCCCCATTTTGATAAATAGGTTTTGAGGTATATTTTGGGGCAATTATCTGATGATTTTAGAGAGAAGTGAGAGTGTTCTAGAGAGAGGAAGTAGATAAAGTGTCTTGTTCATCAAATTCTTGTCCAAGCCTTGAAATCCAACAGGAAATCCCTCGAGTTCTTCATCAAAGAAGTAAGGTTCTAACCCATAATCTTCCATTTCGAGTTTGGGTAATGATGGGTGATTAAGAGTATGATTTATGGGTATAAGAGTATTATTTATACGTATCAATAAGGTTTATGGAAAGAGTGTTGAGTTCAAATGGGTAAAGATTGGGTTGAAAATGGTAAAAATCTTCAATAACTTTAATTGAAGATTTGAGGGCCGAGTTGATGTCGGAATTTGGTGAAATTTGTATGGTTGGACTCGTGATTGGATGAGTGTTCATATTTTATAACTTTTGTCAGGTTCGGAGATGGGGGTTCCACAAGCTATTTTTGAGTTAATTTCGGATTTTATTAGAAAAAAATTAGTATTTTCTTATGGAATTAATTACAATAATTGGTATTGACTGAATCAAATTAATTGTGACTAGATTCGAGGTATCCGGAGGCCGATTTGCGAGACAAAGGCATAACAAAGTGAATAATTTCACGTTTTGAGGTAAGTAACAATTTTAAATCTGGTCTTGAGGGTATGAAACCCCGAATTTTTGTATCATGTGATTATTTTGGAGGTGACGCACATGCTCGGTGACGGGCGTGTAGGTGTGCACCGAAGGGATTGTGACTTGGTCCGTCCCGAAAAACTGTAAAGTTGAATAATTTGTTGTTAGCTATATGTTCTCTATGTGTTGATAAAATTTGACTGAA